AATAGTGACCCACTTAAAGGCTTACACAATTTGCTGCAACAACGAACTAGCAAACACACATACGAGCACAGTGACAGCGAAAAGTCATGTTACAGTTGCACAAAAAAAATATGCAAAAATAAACGAAACATTTTCACTAAATTGAAAAACAAAAAAATCTAAAACAATCCTTCTAGCTGCAAACTCAACTGCGGTTTTGCAGCACAGTTTGTCAATTTACATTCAAAAAGGACTTGTTTGGTAAAGGACTTTCGCAAAGTTGCCTGACATTTGCATATGACCGACTGAAGTCTCTGACAACTTGGACATGTGACAAATATGTGGGGCAATGCATGGAAGGTAGATTCGCCGCATTTCCGTCTGCCTAAGCTTACAGAGCTAAGGAATGTGGCATAAAATCGATGCAAATACCGAGCATAAACTATATATTAAAGTATGAAACTAAACTAACAACAAGTCTCCTCATATCATCCCACTCTCTCAGCTGGTGAGATTTACACACTTGGAAATACAAAATGAAATAACGAATGATTTTGTGAAACAAATCCAAATTGAAATCTGCGGTTCGCCAGCTTAGGTAGGTAGGAGCAAGAGCGAGCGCGAGAGCTAGAGAGAGAGCGAGAGCGAGAGCGAGAGCGAGAGGAAGCTCAACTAAAATAGAAATTCTAGTGCAAATGTTAAAAATTCTCGTGACATATCACAGGAATGTTGTCTGTCTGTCTCCATTGTCGTTGCAGCATTTGAAGCTGCTGTAAATAGTCGCAGCAACAAAAACGCTTCCAGACAGACAGAGACACGCACAGACCCGACCCCTCTCGGCTATGCACATTCTGCTGATGACACCGAAAACAACAAATTCGACGACTATTGAAAAGTTGCTTACCTTGGACTAAATGCCCTGGTCAACAACTGGATAGAGCGCAGATTGGCTTTGTGGGCCGTCCATAAATCATAGCTGCTAGGTGGGCGTGGCGCTGGTTGGGTTTTCTAAAGAATTTCGACTGCTACTGCGATCAGCTTTCAAGAATATGAATCATTTGCAAAGCTGAGGCTGCTCTCCACGCCGACGACGACAGCGACGGCGACAACAAACCTTTCCCCGACCCTGAGAATGCTAATGGCCGTCAGGGTTCAGCTTTCAGTACGGGGCGTCAAACGGAAGCCGCATTAGTTACACACAAAAAATACGTGTATACAAAAGAACAGGAGAAACGAGCGACCCTAAAAGTGATCATACAACATATATGTATCAGGTGATTCAACCACTTGTCGACACTCGGCCCCAGGGCAATCGAAGTGAGGGACACGAGCCGCACCGATGACACAACTGGAAAAGGAGCCTCGGCCATTGGCTGGCCTTCAATCTGACTTCTTTCGTTCTTATAAGCATGCCACATGAAGCGGGGCACATTAATAAGCATTAAGCAGCTTCCTCACAGATCATATAAGAAACGAGCATGGGTGATCAAACGCCGTTTATACGGCTATGATAGTTTCAGTTTATTATAAGAAACATTAATTCGGTTACTCATAAAAGAATTGTGTACCTATTCATTTTATATCAACTTATACTGATAAGAAAACCTAACTATTGAGGCCACTTTTAAATGATTAAAATCCCAATCGAGCTGCAATTTATAAATAATAATATAAAGAATAAAAAATTATATTAAAAAAGGAAATATTAAATGAATGGAAAATTGCAAATATTTTGAGCTTGACCCAGGCTTATTTTATCACTATTTGTGTTTGGCTGTGGGTTGCGAGAAAGCAGATTTTGAGAGATTGCCAAAAAGGTGGCACTAACTTACCTACATAGTCCGCTACGATTCGCATTAAATGGGCTATGAAATGTTTATTTTATTTTGCACAGGCATCATTAAAGTTACAATCAAATATCATGTGGACTAAGTGTGATTTGCTTGTTCATTTTCTCTGGCAAAAATATTGTAAAATGTTTGTACTTTATGAAAATTATCTTTGTGCAAATGCAGCAAACAAATGTCAACTTGAAAAAATAGTTTGATGTGTCTAAAATGTCTCAAAATAATCAAAAGACGCAGTTAGACCAGGTTACATTTAGGCGCGAGAAAATGTTGCAGCTGCAAAGTTTTCCAACTGCGCCAAAATGTATAAAGACGTGCAACTGTCAGCGCAATTCCCATGGCTGTCTGTCTAAATAAAAAATAAAAAAACTTAAATTTGAACCAAAAGCTGTGCACATAAATAAAGCAAAAGTGTTTTTAGTGATTTATGTGATATATGTGGAATATAAGTAATATTGTGCATGAGAAATAGCCAGTCTATTTATAAAATGTGGCGTCGCAAGCATTTTCTATTTAGATTTGTTTACACTGTTTGACTTCAACCATGTAGTCCAGTGTGAAGTATTATTTAACCTGCAGAGAACATACATATTTAGACGTTATTTGCTTTGATTCCTGCATTATGAGCTCATGAGTCATTTGACACTGGACTTCTAACAGCCGAAATAGCTCAGTTGGGAGAGCGTTAGACTGAAGATCTAAAGGTCCCCGGTTCAATCCCGGGTTTCGGCATCCGTTTTTTGTTATTTTGATTTATTTTTTGAACTTCTATATTTAGACATTTTAAATTGTGTTTTGCTCAATCCTGATTCAAGCAAGTTTCCGTGGTGTAGTGGTTATCACATCCGCCTAACACGCGGAAGGCCCCCGGTTCGATCCCGGGCGGAAACAATTCGATTTTTTTTTCTATAAATACATTTTTTTTTGGCAACACACAAATTATGTTTTATTTTGTTATGTATTTTTTACGAGTATAACTTAATTAATTAAAATAGATTTTGGAGTGCATAAAACTGTGATAGCTCGCACTTTATAAAAAGATATTCATCGAGTCATAAAGTCTTCTGATGAAAACGATTCAAGCACAAGGGAAATGCTCATTACACATTAATGTCTAGAACTGTTCAATTATTCGGGCTGTGATGTGCAATCTGACGATCTGCGGTCTGCGCCGTATTTGGATAGCACGAAAATAAATAATGAGGCAAAAGTCAAAGCGCCAAGCGCCAATGTTTTCTATCTGTCTGGTTGTCTGTCAAGTATATAAGAACGACAAACGTTTTAATATGCTTTTATTAGCCAAAGGCACTGGGAGGGATCCGCATCGGTCGTCGCCTGTCGGTCGGGGTAATTAGACTCCATTAGTGGCACTGGCAGACACTTCCTTGAAGCACACACAAACAGACAGACACGACACGACACGAGCTGAGACGAGACGAGACGAGCATGTATACAGAAATTGATGCAAAGTGCTCAGATGTCTCCAGCTAGCTGTATTAGTATCTATATTTCTGTATCTGTGTCTGAATGTGAATTATGGGTACCATGTGCTAATGTTGATATGTGCTCGTATGGGCGTGCTGGTGCCACTTGATGCGGCGCTCATAATTTTTGAGCCATTAGACTGCTTGGTGCATAAACTCATTAAAATGTACTTGAATGCCTCAAAATACGAGGCGACGCGTTGCGAAGATGGAAATGGAAGATGGAATATGGAAGCGATGGCCATTTGGCGTCACATTTGCTTAATTTGTCGAGCAGTGACAAATGACTAGGAGCAGCCAAGAGTTCGCATTCCCAACCCTGCACCCTCTTCAGTACCATCCAGCAGCCTCTCACAGCAGTGCCACATCAGAGACATGTGTACGGTTTGACAGTTTGATGCGCAACAAGATAGATTGGCTTACAGCAACGATGGAGTCTGAATTGGGATTGGAGTTAGAGCTGTTCTAGAGCAGACTTTACGCAATTCGAGACAACTCGAGCAAACACTTGAGATTGCCGCCTCAAGCATGTTGGTTGGCTTGTTTGGCTGCTGCTTCGGCTCCGAGTGCTGACTGTTGTTGCAACATTAATGACGTTTGTTTGCGCTCTCAGCTAATGAAGATGTTGCATGCTGCCATACATATTAGGCACTTGCCACAGCTCAAGTGGCCTGGGTTGGATCAAGGTGTGGCAACACCCAACAGTCAAAGTACATTGCTAAATTATAAATACTTTAAAGTGCATTAATAATAGAACAGCTCGTAGCTTATAATACACCTCTAAGCCAATATTTATGCTCGACTACTGCGATCTTAGGGCAATTTATACATCTCAAACTGTTGCTTAAGTTTTTATTTTTTGATTCCAAACACCAAGGCTTAGTCGCTTACCTTTGGGCACTTGGCTGTATATAATATAGATAATAAGCTGTTTAGTGCACTCCCTCTAGAGCATAAGCGAAACTGGGTGACTTTGGTCATGGAGTTATGATTAAAAATGATTAGAAAAGGAAAGCAAATCGGATCACATTATAAGTGTAGAAATACTTATGTTATGAGATACCTTAAAAGCATCTTCATAACGAGCTAATGAAATTTCGTGAAATTCCGTAAAAAGTTAACTTAAAAGTTATATAAATTTTCAGCGAACCAAGCTCTCATATAAACCAATTAATGAGTACACAAAAAAATCAAATATATAGATATATATATTAGATATTATTATTATTATATTATATATAATTATATATAATTAGTACTTAAAACTTAACTTAACTTAAAATATATAAAGTGAGAGTAGAGTTATTAAATGCTTTGACACACATCTTTAAGCCAAGTTAAGTGCGCTGATTCAGTTATGCCGTTTCCCAAATATTAAAGTTTAATCCGTGAGTCACAATAATTATCAAATTTACGAAATCAATCGTAAGGGCTTAGTTCAGGTGGGGTCTGCACATAAAAAATGCCGAACTTTAGGTCGCATGAATCAGAGCTAAGTATTAATCGACCTCTGCTATCTGCCGTCTGCCTTCTGCTGTCTGCCGTTTGCCGTGCGCCGTCTAATATCTGTTATCTATTTGGCTGAATTGATTCCGATTGGCAGATATCAATATAGCCAATGCAATCGATGTTCCTTGCTTATAAATACAAATTTATTTGACCATTGGAAATCAGTTTTGGCACAGCCATCGAATCGAACGAACCTAAAACAAATCAGAAAATAAAATGGCTGTGGGAGATACCAACCAAGATATGTATTTAGAGATGGGGAGTAACACTCGACCTGAGAGCAAATTGCAGAGCTGCTGTGTCAATCGTCAGCGACTGCATTCCATCATAACAGGTGAATGGCTTGCACAATAATAAATGGGACTAAAAGCAATTCTCATCGAAAGAAGTCGTCTTTCGAAGAACTAATTATAAATACAATCAAATCTATGAAGATCTAAAAGTGGATCAAGACTAAAGTTGACTTTGATTTCATCTAATTCATAGGAATGGTCTTGTTCTCCTATGGAGGAATGGACATGGCGCAGGGACTTGGCTGGAATTTGTACACAGGCATTGCGGACACACAACAATTTTCGTTCTGTTGGTTCATTGGAGTCATTATTGGAGCCATATTGGGAGCATTCACAGTTAGCCACTTGCCCAAATCCTTTTTCTATGTGAGTTAGAAAATCAAAAACGTTTTAAAAGATTGCCCCTAAGCAATGGTTATGCTATATCTAGGCTTTCGCAACGCTGCTGCAGTTGATCGATGCTATTATCTGTGTGAGTGCACCATATAACTATGATGCTATGGTAGCAGCTCGATATATTGGCGGCATTGGCATTGGCTTCATAACGGTGGCCTTTATAATACACAACGCGGAGGTGGCGCCAATCGAGGCTCGCGGCAAGTGGTGCGCCGTGGAGCAATCTGGCCTGGGATTGGGCATAGCTGTGCAGGTGATCATGGACTCAATGTGGAACCCGGCGCTACCTATCGGAAACAATCAAGTGCATGGCATCATTGGAATTGTGTTTGCTATTATCGCCATTGCCGTAATAATACTTTCGGTCGAGTCGCCCATCTTTCACCTGCGCCGCAACGATTACGACAAGGCCAATGATTGCCAATGGCAGCTGATGAGCAAAGAAGCCACCGCAAATGAGCAGAATGAGCTGTTGGAAGAGAACAAACGTTACGTCTCGGAGGGTGTACATGAGAGCATAAGCCACGATCTAGTCGTCTCCGTGGTTCCATTCTTTAAAATGTTCTTTTGCCGTTGCCTGGTGGCATTTAGCTTCTCGATGCCGCTCACTCAGACAATTATTGCGAGCAGTACGGTCTGGAAAGGCACGCTATACAGCTGGCCAATCATCGTATGGAGACTCTTACGTTGGATCGGAACTCTCATTTCCATCCTAGTTATGGACAAGCTGGGCCGCAAGCTCCTCGCAATGCTTGGCCTTGTTTGCATGGCTGGGTTGATGCTGGGCATGGCTGGCCTCTACTCGAACTACGCTTATACGATAAGTCCATACTATATGGCGCAGGTATGTCGCATTTCCATGGCCTTCCAAATGTTCGCTGGCCTCTTCGTTGCATGCACCCCTGCTTACATGGGAGAGGCATTCCCCATGCGCATCAAGCCTTTCCTCATTGCCTTTATCGTGTGCATCGAGCAACTGATTCACATAATTGTGATTGTCACCTTCAAAAATGAGGCAAACAGCTTCTATCAATACTATCTGGGCGTCGGCATTATCCTGCTGATAAGCATGCTTATCCTCTTGGTAATGCTGCCAGAAACGAAAAAGACAACGTTACGAGAAGCTGGCCATCGCTTCCGGCACCTTCATGACATTTTGGCCCATTAGCGAGGCTTGGAAAACGAAGCAGACTAGGCCAACTAGCTATGATACAATTGTACAACTGAAGTCTCAGATATTGCCTAAATGATATATATATCCAGCTAAGATATCTAGTTTTTAATTTTATTAAGCGATAAGTAATTGTAAGAAAGATTTCAAATGAAGATGAAGAAATCATACAAAACATTGCTGTATTTCTAAAAATATATATGAACATTGAATGCATTGACTAAGTCGCCGGTTCGAAGAACCTTTCGTAGGCAGAACAATTTGTAAAGATAGAGCTAAAGCTTGCAGTATTTAAAGTCTGCCGAAGACTTACAATATTACATTTGCTATTTATTTAATTTAATTTTTTAAATACAAGAAATATTAGAAATATATCATTTTTATTTAGTTGGCTTTGATAACCTCACACATGGTCAATAACTAACATATATTTTTGTTATCTATGGATTATTTAAGATTTGTGCACATTAAGTGAGTATGGCAGACATTTGGGGGCATTGCCAACATAAATAAGTGAAAGTCAACACTTTACTACTCGACTAGAAGATACCCTGACTCCAGCTCAGAGGTGCTGCTAGGCATATTTTAACTTCCTTCTAAAAATTAGTTTCAATGAAGTTCTTCTGGCTTTGATGGAATATTTGAATATTTATTTCGACTTTCAGTCAGACACTTCCAATTAGAAGAACTCCAACACAAGCCTTTCGTGTAGATTGTAAGATGTGATCAGTTACGATTCAAGTAGCTAATCAGTCTTAATTAGGACATCATTGGCCAATGACAGCAAGCGATTTGTGCTGATTCAGCAAAGGTGTCCCCCAGCAGCGAGCATGAACTCTGGAGAATTTAGTGAGTCACAGTGCCATTTGTCCCTCTTCTGCATACATAAATAAAGACAACTCGTAAACTTTAACTTGTGTTATCAGCATTCCGAATATTGTGTGTGGGGACTTCGCTTAAGAATGGACAAGCCAAAGTGAATCACGATCATATCTCACCTGCCAACGGTAGCCACAGATACTATAGATAACTTGTTCGAAGAGCACAAAATAAATTGTTCATAATATCTTTAATATCAGAAATTTTATATAGATAACGAATTCTTTGTTATAGTAATACAAAAACGCAAAAATTATCTACTTCAAATTAGTTTTGCACAAACGTTTAGTAGAGCCAGTTCGCTTCTACGCGCGTCCAAATGGCTACCATAATAATCAGCGGTCAAGCGCCAGGTGCCAAGCCGACCTTTGTAGCCACAAGCGCTCCACAGCCGCAGCTCACCTACATCGATGTAATCGAAGATCCCCGAACCCAGCGCGGTTACAACCGTTGGACAAATGGACACAATGCCCACTCTGCAACCGTTGGTAAGTCGCCAGAGTGGAAACGCCCAAGGGAAAAATTTAAATATGTGACTAAATTCCTGATAAGAAATCAGACAATTATTTTTATGGTTATGCAATACGTGTAGTAATGTACTAATTATATAGTTAAAAACTATTAATTAGACTCGGGTTCAGTCTCAGTCTAAGTGGACTGATGTCAATGCCTTCGATTAGTGATACTAATACAATTCGGTTTCCTTAGGATTCCTACTTTTCACCTATGGCGGCATGGATATGGCCCAGGGTCTGATATGGAATTTGGACACCGGAATTTCGTCTACTCCTGAGATGAACTACTGTTGGTTCATTGGTGTTATAATAGGAGCCTTTGTCGCGGCTTTTGCAGTGACTCATGTACCAAAGAAATATTTCTATGTGAGTCACAGATCTCAGAGTTATAGAAACTGAACTTCTATGAATCGTTTCTTCACCAGCTACTGGGAGGAGTCATGATGTTCATCGATGCGGTCATCTTTGTCAGTGCTCCATACAAGTATAACCCCATAAGAGCGGCTCGCTATGTGGGCGGAGTGGGCATGGGACTGATCACAATGGCCTTCATCATACACAACTCGGAGGTAACTCTGGGCAATTCGCGTGGCAAGTGGTGCGGCTTGGAGCAGTTCGGCTTGTCCCTGGGCATACTCATTCAGGTGCTGATGGACTCGCAATGGAATTTTGCGTCCAGTATTAACATCAATACGGCGCATGGAATCATTGGCATTATCTTTACTGTCTTGGCCACCGGCACCGTGGCTATGTCTGTTGAGTCTCCGATCTTCTATCTTCGCAGTAATAACGAAGATGCGGCGCGCACCTGTCAAACTCAGCTGCTGGGCACCAATGTGCCAACGGAAATATATGAGGCAATCTTTGCCGAGGCAAAGGGCTACGTCATGGAAAGCAACAGCCGAAGCTTTGGTGAACAGTTCGCGGCATCTGGAATGCCCTTCATAAAAATGCTCTTCAGTCGCTGCCTTGTGGCGTTTTCCTTCTCGTATCCGCTCAGCGCTGCCATGTTGAACAGCACTGCGGTCTGGAAGGACACCATGTACAGCTGGCCCTTGATTTTGTGGCCCATTTTGCGCTTCATTGGAGTACTCATCGCAATTGGCATTGTGGATAAGCTCGGCCGCAAGTTCATTTCGCTGGTGGGACTCCTGTGCATGGCAGCTCTTATGCTCGCTCTGGCTGGCATCTTTACACATGATCCACAAATGTCAAACACTTATTATATGGCGGAAGTATCTCGTGTCTCCTTGGCGTTCCAGATCTTTGCAGGCATATTTGTCATCAGCACTCCATCCTACTTGGGCGAGGCTTTCCCCATGAAGGTGAAGCCTTTCCTAATTGGCTTTGTTGTGTGTCTGGAGCAGGTGATTCACATCATTGTGATCGTCACATTCGGAAAGACCTATAACTGCTACTTCCAATACTTTGTCGGCGTGGGTGTTATATTGGTAGTGAGTCTGATCATATTTGCCGTCTTGATGCCCGAAACTCGAGGCATGTCCCTCCGACAGGCCACCGATCGTTTCTGTCGCTACTTTGACGTGATGTCCTACTAAGAAGCAGCTTCCATTCAGGTCAAGCATATTTGACACATTCAAATTTGTTTTCTTTCTGTTATCTGATAAGCAATGAAAAAATTCACGAACAATCTGAAGCTTTCTAACACTTATTCATTCACGGCTTATTAACCCTAATATTATTCAAGGCTCTTATAAATTATTGCTACAAATTACACTGATTTATAAACCGCATATAATAATAATAAAAATATTATGTACAAAATAAAAAAATATACATTTAATAAAAACTCTATGTTATCTGAAATAATATTACACAATCTGCTTATATATCAAAGGGGGGAAGATGCGTTAACTGGGAATAAATTTTGCTTGATTGTGAGAGGTGGACGAGAGAGAGAGAGGAGAACGAATGTCCGATGTGCTCTTTCACGATTTGCTTTTTTAATTTCTAGTCTAGTCTAGTCTACATCCACTGACAATCATACCGATCCTATCAGAATGCCTTGAATAGCCACCCCGCTCTCACTCAGTACTGACTACGTTTGGCAACAGCAATATTTGTCTCTTTCGCAATAAGGGACACAACAAAGACGGAAACTCAATCGGATAATACCAGCTGTCAGTCTCTCCAGACATTAACAGGCTCTGTTAATACGGATCGTAAGACGGTAAAGCAAACACTTCGAGAACTAATATAGAGAATCCGTGCTCTAGCAATCATAAAAATTTCACTCATATAGATATAAATATATTTATTATACTATATAAGTATAATATAAATATATTTATATCTATATGAGTGAGTCAATTAGGCAAGCGTAATATTTTCTTGGTAAGATACAGGCCCTGCCAATAATGAATCAAAATCAAAACAGGGTTGACCAAGGGGCCGAAAAAGACCACCAAGCACACGCTGATTACAATATTTATACATTATCTCTAATTAGATAATGATAACGCACTTTTCCTTTGTTTTCCACATAAATTTGAACGAATTGTCAGTGTGAAGTCAGTTACGAACGAATCTTAATCGAGTCAAGTGCAACAAAATGACTATCGCCTATGTGACCACAAACGAGCCACAGCGAACACAGGTGACCTATGTGACCACAAACGAGCCAAAGCCAACACAGGTGACCTATGTGACCACAGGACCTGCGCCTTTGCCAACACCAACCACCTATGTTACTGTGCAAACTCGACAAGTCCGCAAGCATAATGCCCACACCGCCATTGCAGGTGAGAAGAATATACTTAACAGTAATACTAACTAGTAGATCATCTATGAATATATTATAAAATACAAGAAATTAAAGTAATTTAAGTCTACAACTGTCGCACATATGCAGCTACAAAAATGTCTTCTTCTTGCATAAAAGAGCCGATATTGTGTTATCATATCTAAATAATAAAGCCACCTAGCTTATATTATTTGTCATATTGTATCGTATATATGTAACTGCATTGCACTATAAATTATGTATACAAAATAATATATATAGCTTAACAAATCAGAAATTCTATATATTGCTTCTATGACTATTCTATAATTAAGATATTATCCTTTGCTTAAAACATAAGAAGAAACATAAAAATCTTAACACGTTTCTAATATTTCTTATCACAAGTGTAAAAAACTCCCCTTGCTTGTCAAAAAATCAGTAAGGCCGACTAATAATAGATATACGAGTGACTCAATAAAATATAACAATGTAAAATGTATTTATTAATAATCTAATTTGCCATTTGCAATTTCAAGGTGTATCTAAAAAGGTCAACTATGTTTGATTTAACAATTTAAGTTATGATAGCCAAAGTTATGCTCTGTTACACATATATGAAGTAATATGGCTTAATAACATATGGTATAACTTATAAGCTTTCCAAACTATAGAATCATTTCTCATATCGTCAATTAATATTGTAAATAATTTTATTTTATTTTCCAGTAGATCAAGATCCTTTAGTTCTTTTATATATTCTCCATTATTTCAAGCATATTTCGATCAAATATCTAAGAGACAAAATATGTTTATCACAGGCATTTTCTTGTTTGCATATGGCGGAATGGATATGGCTCAGGGTCTGGGCTGGAATTTAGTAACAGGGCTAGCCGAAACTACGGAGATGCAGTACAGTTGGTCCCTTGGCGTCATAATTGGAGCTATTGTAGCAGCCTTGTCCATTGTCCACATTCCCAAGTGGGTGTACTATGTGAGCATGAAAATGAAATGTAATGAAACAAAAATATTCTTATGCTTCTATTTTGGTTCAGAGCTTAGGCGGACTCCTGCAAATGATTGATGGAATTATATTTGTCAGTACAGCCGAGTACAATGCGCTTATAGCAGCACGCTATCTGGGCGGAGCGGGCATTGGGCTGATAACTGTTGCCTTCATCATACACAACTCGGAAATTTCGTTACCCAACAGCCGTGGATGGTGGTGTGCCTTGGAGCAGTACGGCTTGGCTTTGGGCATCGCCATCCAGGTGATCATTGACACACAGTGGGACGCTTCTTCAAGTATCGATGCCAATTGTGCGCATGGCATTTTTGGCATTGTGTTTTCTTTGGTTGCCACAGGCGCCGTGGTCGTATCCATCGAGTCGCCTATCTTTTATCTACGCAGAAATAATGAGGAAAAAGCGCATACACTCCAGGCAATGCTTCTCTCCAGCAGTAAATCTTCTGAAGCCTGTAAAGCAGCTTTTGAGGAAGCTAAGCACTATGTATCCGTGGGTTCAAGCCAGAGCACTGGACAACAATTGGCAAGCTCCGTAATGCCCTTCATCAAAATGCTCTTCAGTCGCTGTCTTGTGCCCCTCACATTTTCATTGCCCTTGAGCGCCAGTATGATAACCAGCACAGTTGTTGCTGAATTAGCCCTGAACTGGCCCATTGTTGTATGGGGCCTACTGCGCTGGTTTGGCACGTTCTTTTCCATGGCTCTCCTAGACAAGGTGGGACGCAAGTTCGTCTCGCTCTTGGGGCTGGTGTGCATGGCTGGTCTGACGCTGGGAATGGCGGGCATCTATTCCGACGTGAATAATACGATAAGCTGGTATTATATGAGCCAGGTCTGTCGCTTGTCCATGAGCTTCCAGTTCTTTGCCGGGCTCTTTATTTGCTGCACGCCCACCTACTTGGGTGAGGCGTTCCCCATGAAAGTGAAGGCTCTGCTCATTGGCCTGATCGTCTGCATCGAGCAGGTGATTCACATAATTGTTATTGAGACGTTTTCAACAAGTTTAAGCTTTTACTACCCATACTTCCTGGCTGTGGGCATTGTCCTGATCGTGTGCCTAATTATCTTTGCCGTGCTGATGCCAGAGACACGGGGCTTGTCGCTCCGACAAGCGACCGAACGTTTCTGTCGAGTTCACGATGTTATGGCTCACTAAGCTGAAGCATAATCAAAGTATCAATGGATTTGAACCCGCATTCTCATTCGTATGTTGTCCCTTAAGCAACACATCCCCCGAGTACTTCCTCAAAGAAAATGTAACAATACAGTAGACAATAAATTGTTTTAGACATTACCACAAATTTCTGAATAGCATTTCGTATTCCAAAAGCATGGAGTCTACTAAGGCCTATTTGGATATTGATACTTGCTCATATAGTTTGGAGTGCACTGATCTTAAGTATATTAAATATTATAATTTGAATATTTAACAACAATGCGAATGCATAAATACTGAGCTCATTTAGGAAATAAACCAGCTCGGCTATCTTTATAGTTTCAGCTATAACCATGAACGAGTATTACGCAGTCGGCTGCACTCGACTGCAATATTCATAGCTGGCTGCTTCTCCCATTTGCTAGCAGCTGTTTCATTTTTTCGACTTTTATTTAAATTTATGCCTTCTCGAATGCTTGATGCTGTTAATTTTCACACAACGCAGCCAATGAAGACTATTTTTATAAGCCGCCGGTCGTTGCGGTTTTTTTCTCTCTTTTCATTTTTGTTATAAACTAATTTATGTCTCCACTGGATGTGCGAGCGGGATAAACTTCCTCGGACTTGTGAACTGTTTGGCATTATTTTCTACCCATAGAGCTTTATAGTTTGTTTAGCAGCAATATCGGCTCTCGATGCTAGGCTCTACTAATTTTGACACATTAATGTCTTTTAATTTGTGAAGCTTCAAACTTGCTGTCAACATTTAATGTGTGTTTATGACATGTCTGTGGATCAGATGGGTTTCATGCATAATTTAATGTGTTCATTGGATTTAGTTTGTTGGCTACAGCTGCTGTCTTAGACTTAGTAGATTAGAGTCTGGCGTCTTTTACTAACTTCTTCTTATATGATTTTGACTTCAACGACATCTGTTAGCCATGGTAGAAGAAACTCTCTTGGCAACGGATCTGCATTTTATTTCTTATTAAAAATATAAAGAAAATCAACTTAATAATCAACCTTAATAAAATGTGAATTATATATATATTTTTTAAATCAATATGAATTATATATATAAATTTTGTATAAATATACTATTCAATTGTATTGCCCTTGCTTTATGGCTTAAAATTTTCTGTTTGACAGCAATTGAAGAGCTGAAAAAAAGAATCTCAAGAGCATTCCTGTTGCTCTTGCTAGACACTGGCCAAAGGCGCTTTCGATACAAATGCCTCATGAATTACAATTGAAATTATTGTGAATGGTTGTAAGACAGAAGCCATCGAAGCCACACATTACAGTGCGCAGAAATGCGCATAAAAATTGCATTAAAATATCTACAAGATGCGGACCTAATGAAGGAATGGCAATAAAGGACCATTGCAGCAGCCACAAACAGTTGCCCAACCACAGCTGGGAAAAGTATTCAATGCCCCTAAATGGCTCACATACACACGACGGCATTGATGCCGGCCAAGATGGGGAAAAATCTGCTGGCCAATTGAATTAAATCGAATCGACAAGCTGCAAAATGCGTGCAAAAATGTTGTTAGCCCGATGTTTCCAGCTTTCACAGCATTTGTCGACAGACGAGGCGCCAAATGAATTAAATGCATGTTCGTGATTTTTACTTCAATTGAAGGCAGCGCCAATGCGCATCTCAACGAGGTGCCAGGTCAGCCCCAAGTTCTTGATTCGTTTGCCTCTCCACCCACAACAGCAGCAGTACAACTGCTCAACGCATAAAGTTCGCTCAAATGGAAGTAATCGAATTGCTTTGGCTCGGATCTGTCAACGAAACTGCATTTAATTGACCGAATGTGCGGCCACACGGAATTCGAATAGAAATTGCGTTAAGCTGCAGTAAATTACCTCCGGAGTGTGTTGGACTTTCTTTGGGATATGTCGCAACACGCAAAGGTTTCTTTGAGTTCATTTATGCAATCATAAAAGTCACAGACCTAAAGGAATTGCCTGTCTGCCAGTAATGTGTCTTTTGCTTAGTGTCAATATTGATGCTAAAACGTTACTTACTTGAATTTAAGATTTTATCTTTGGATTCCTCAATCACGCAGCAAAGTCTAAAAAATATTAAAGGTGAGGGAAAATGTAAGATTTTGTGTGAGAAATTTATTTTTCTTTTTTTTTTGATAATAATATAAAAAATAAAAATAATATTGATAACTTTACCACTTTTTTCTGTTAAACACAGATTTAATAAGTTTTGTATATTATTATAAAAATCTTAATAAATTAATAGATATACTATAATAAAATTGAATAGAGAGCTAGTTATTAAATATTTTATTTAATACGTTTCCTTGTTTAATCTGAATATCAATCAGAGACTGGAAAATCGGACTTAATCCTACGACTATCATAATTTAAGCCCATATCAAATCAAAGCCCAAATCAAATTATATTAAATCAGTTTTATTGACAATAACAAATATATATAAAGTTTCGATTTGAAAGCACATTAAAGTCCAACTTATTTTGTACTTATAATACCAGCTGGCAGAGTCTACATGAGATAAATAACTACAATTTTTGAATTCACATAATGAAAGAGAAGCGAAATAAATGTGTTCGACTGTATTTACAGCTGGCAGTTGACACTCAACTGTCGACAGGTTGTGTTAGACATGTGTTTGCAAACAAGAACTTTGCTCACTGTAAAACTTTGAAACTTTGGGCAAGCTTCAAAAGACAACGAGTATTCTATAAATATAGCAATTAGCAATATCCTGTGCCCTACTCAGGCATTGCGGCCACACTTCTTAAACTTTGACTTACTGTGAATCGAGAATTTTGCACTTTTGCACCTGCCGCAAACGAAATGCTGAAAAATGAGCTCTGAATGATTGATAGTTGTACCGAATGACTGTGCGAACGACTAAGTGAATGAGTGAGTGAGGGAACGACAAAGTCAGTAAAATGTTGACAGAGTCCATGACCCGACGCGGCTCCTCCATCTACAGCTATATCTCCATCTGTCAGCTGTCAGTTTCGCACGCTGGCAGGCTCTGAACTTGCTATTTTAATTGAGTTTCCAGCTCCAGTTGTGACTGCGAGCAAAGATTTATGCGATATATTTCGCGCCACCTGCTAGATGTTCAACCAAGCAATCAAACGCTATTTAGACCTTTAAAAAGTCCAAGCATTATGGACTCCCGCATATTATATTCGATCTTTGATACATAGAAGAAATCAATTGGATATTTGCAGCTTAACTTAACTTTGAAGATTCGACTCGATATATATATATATATATATATATATATATATATATATATATATACATATATAATATCTCTGCTAAGCAATATATCATCCGGTGGTAATAATAGTGTATTTCTGTTTCGACTTTGATTCCTGGCTAAGGTGCAAGCTCGTTTAACTTTTATTGAACAAACAGCAGAAGCGGCAGCGGCAGCGGCCGTGTTGAATTGTTTTTTATGGCGTCGGTGCAACGCTGCGTATGCGCAACGGTTACCCTTGTGCGACCCGACTCGCCTTTAACCTAGTTTGTTTTTGCCGCTGCTAGTTGCTGTAAGCATTAACACCTTTATTACTATAGTTGTTGCGTTGTTTCGAGCTGTGCTCATTGCATATGCAAATTGGAAAAGTCGAACAGGAAAACGGTTTGATATGTAAGCAGATGGTAAAGTGGGTGAATGCCAAGGCGGCTTACTCCTTCGACTCAATCAATCGAATCAAAGTCCATAAAGAAAAACTGAAACAAATGCCTAGTTGCCCTGCTGATAAGATGAACGCATTGCGTATACGCAGTGTTTGCCTATGCAAACAAACAAATAAACGTCTGTAAATAAGTTTGAGTGAGCTGTAGAAAAGTGAGTGGCTCGCTCGTCGCTTTGTTTGTTTCTCGCTGGCTCGACAAACACACAGACAGGCATGTAAACAAACATTTGAAGTGCAAATAGAGAACGAAAACGAAAAAAAAACAACAAATTTATATAAACTGTTTTGATTGCAGGTAAATACTCAAAGTGAAGCCAGCATTGAGGCTGCTAGCTGCAGCCTCTCATTATTGATAGCTGTTCATTTATCATGCCGCCTGTTTTATCTATTTAGTTGACACAAGTCAACGATCTTTGACTTGGTGTCACGTTGCAGCAAATTTGGCTCCCCCCACATCAGCTGATGCAGATAGCAAAACGATATTGGATGGCTCACAGTCCTATTAATAGACGACGATGACTGCGGAACAGGTAATTGCATGATTTCATACACCCAAATGAACAATGCAAACAAATAAACGAACGCCATGGCAAAAATGCTATAGTTAACGCTTCACTGGCCCAGCGGATGAGTAGGCGGGGCTTGACGATAGGGAATGCAGGCTTGGGAATCAAATGGCTAAAGTTACGCCCCACTGAGGCGTGATATTATGGGTGTGAGAAAGTTGAGAGCTATTTAGAGCTAACCCATTCCGTATTTGGGCTGTGCTTAGCGTAAATCCATTGTAAGAGGAAGTCTAAACGCATTTTCTGTATTTGTTTTGTTTATGTAAAATAACAATAAATAATCAAAGTTATAATTTAGTGGTATTTTGTATGCTTTTAATGACTCCCAACAAAATTATTAGCTCTTATACAGCTTTAAACATATGTCACCTTTGGGTATTTATTTTGAATTATTAAGTTTTCGTCTATTCTAGAGATTTATTTACCTATAAAGTGATTTGTGTTTTGGCAACTGTCAACTTGAGTGGATGTGAAGAAAGGATTCATAATGTTCATAATTTGTGTTTTCAGATAACAAAATCGTTTCTATACTTTTAATAGATTTCAAATAGTTGCTCAAAATATAAGACAAATGTCGTCTTTAATTAACTAACACTAAGAAACTCGAAAGAGACATCAACATAAATATTAATGAACTTCAACAGTATATAAAAATATTTATTTCAAATTTGTGGTCTTTACTTGTAGATCGACTCTGATGTTAATCCCAATCAAATCATCCGCCTAATGCATTAAAAATTAATGCAAAAAGCAATAAAAACTTCCATAAAACTATAATAAAGTAATTTTGTGTCAAGTCAAGAGGCCCTGGACTCGTCTTAGGTTGATTACAAACCTATTTATATACAATGTGAGTTGAAATTAAATATTTGTTTATTATTATTTATAGTTCAGTAAATTACATTTTCGCCCCGTCACATAAATTGGCAACTAATCGTTACACCCGAATTTGTACAATGATATAGAGTATGAGACCTTTTTATTTAATGCCACATCTGCGCATAAATAACAATCAAAATCAATTCCAGCAATTGTGTCAATTTGCAATTACAATTTGCAACTGGTGATTAATTGATTGCTGGGTTTGGCTCGCAATAAGGCGCAATGTGGAATTAATTATTCACTATTTGCAACCACAAAGAAAAGCGGTGAAATTATTAATAATACAACAGCCAATGTAATTGTCATTTCTGTAAGCAGTTGCTGGCCTTTTGTTAACAACGGCCTGCCATTTGTTGGTAATGACAGGTTCGTCATACTCCTACACATGTGCCTACATAAATTAGTGTGTGTGCGTGTGCTTGGAAGTAGCATGACATAAGTAAATGTTTTACCTTTTCTGCTTTTGACTTTGACAAAATGCCGCACACTTATTATTTAACATGCACAAAGACTGGACGGTTTCTGGGTCTGTGCGCCGAATGATATATTCGATTCGATTTACAACAGTATTTCGAAGACTTGACATTTATAACGTATATATGTTGCAGAGGCATAGAATAATGGCATCATTTACAAAGCATAACAGAATAAATCATAAAAGAATAAAATTATCCCAATAGCTGTTTACATAATATGCTTTGTCTGCTTTTATTATTGCATATCATTTATAACAATACAGTAAAAAGTAAATGGTTATTGGAAATAGATAAAATTAAGGTGCTGATGGGTCAAGCCGTAAAGATTAGTGACAATTTAATTACAGATTTAGACAAGTTAGTCAGTTGATGCAAGTCCATAAACATTTTTTGTTATTAATGTTAGTTCGCTCAACAACTGAGAGGCTGAGTCATTGCACGAAAAGTAAATATAATAATTTCCAAGCATCTATAAAAGTCTATTAGCAAGCAATAAAGAGCGCTAAATTCATATGCCTTTTCCGAAAATGAACTATAAACATTCTAAATTTTAAGTATGAATTCAACTGTGGAGCAAATGCTTACGAAAATGATTTACCTTAATTTCTGTTTCTGTTTCTGTTATTTGGCAAAACATATGAAAAATGTGCGAATTCAGCGCAAAATGCATGTGTTGAAAGGCAGCAGCAGCGCCAACTATTTAAATATATATTTATATATATGTTACGTTGAGGTTGCTAAATGAACTCGAGATTGCGGGCGCCGTGATTAATGACTCCAAATATATTGCGCTACATTGAACTGAGGAAGAAGCAAAGCGTGCCGGATGAGAGGTTCATTGAAGAAGTCCACCTCGCCAAATGTTAATTGAAAATATTTCTGGGAATTGTATGAACCGACTTTTGACGGCAGCACTTTGTCAGTGCAAAATTATGGCTCTATGGCTCAAGTTGTTTTTCATAATTTGAGATAACAATTTGCAATTTTTCAAAATTACTTTGGCTTTTTCTAGAGAAAATTTTGTATTGTATATTGTTTAATTGTTAAAAGCATTGATAAGCTTAAAATTTATGAGTATTATAAGTTTAAAATATATATCAGCTAAGCTAATAAAATAAAGTGTAAAAAGTTGAAAGTAGTCTCTGAAACAACTACTAGAAATTGTAAGTTTATCTATAAAAAAAATCTACTTTTTCAGTTATTATTTCATTTTATGTCCAAAAGCTAATCATTTCTAAACAATCTTAAAAAACGATATTTGTTAAATATTTATATTAAAGCTGAAGCTGGTTTTTGAAACTGGAACTCGAAACAGCTTGAGAAATAAATTTAATATATATTTTCTCTCTCAATTGTGAAATATCTGTGCCCAAGCACATGGAATTATAGGAAATAACATTGTAATTAATGTTTGGCGACTATTTCCCAAGTCGAGGCTGTTCGATCTGCTTGCCGTGGGCAATGCTTTCCTATAGATATAACTGTTTGTATATGATAAATAATTTGTTGTTGTTTTCTAGCCACATTCGCTTTTCATTGCCTTTTTTAATCCTGGCCCGGACCAGACTGGGTCTAGCTTGCTTTGGTTTGCTCTCATTTTGCTTTTTTCATGCTTATTATGTGTTTTGTGTGTCTGTTTTTTTTTTTTACTTTTTCTTTTTCGTCTTTTTTTGTTTTAATGTTGTCAGACAGGATTTTCCACTTTAGTGTAGTTGGCGTCGACAGTGCTGCTGCTGCTGCTACATTGACGCGTTTTTGCTCAGCTCAGCTCGGCTCATCATGCAGCTGGAAGCCGCATCCGAATCCGTTGTTGCAGACAGTGCATCTCAGGCTCAGGCTGAGTCTTTGTTGCCTTGCGTTGCCTGCAATACGCCGCAGCTGGCGTGGTCATTCGGGTTAATGCCGCTTTTATTCATATTTCTAAGCGCATTATATGGGCTCTTTTGCTCAAAATATTAGCAAAATGATGTTAATACCCCCGAGGCGGACGTGGCAGAAGTATAATCAACTACCCCTCCACAGCTGCTAGGCCCATTACGATGCGTTTCATTGCCGGCACGAGCTGAATTATTTTAATAGCCACTGCAATTACGCACATTTGCGTATATAATTATGCACATACCTAGCTACCTAACCTGGCTGCCTCTCTACCCCGCTGAACCACACATCCGTGCGTCGCTCTCCGTTGTCGCTAGCATAATCCTCTTTATAGAACGGCGCGTTTTAAAACGCGCCTGAGGGCCGACCAAAGCAATTGCATGCTAAGCACTTAAATGCCCCGTAATTTGTTGCTGATATCGTTTTCAACGCCTCATAAAAAAACAACAATCATTAAAAGCCCTATTAATATTGCCTGATTGTATTAAGAGCATTTCTTGTAGCCCCATTAAAGTTTTCAAAAGGCTGAAATGGGAATTTTTAACACTGAATTTCTTTAATGACTGATTTAACCATTCGATAACTAGGAATACTTGCATTGAGTTGAAGTTCCCAATGCATTTCCGAACAACATTTCATTTGAGAAATTTCATATTGAGAATAGTTTTATCCCCAATCCATTTTTTATCAGAGATTCATTTGAGTATAACATGGTTTAGGAACCAGTCCGCCAACAAAGTTAGAACAGATAGAGGCAAGAAGAAAAAACGTGCTAAAAAAAACTGATCAAATAAATAGAATAAGTTAAAATTAGAAAGAGACAAGAGCACAGCTTAACGCGTTTTGATCATGCTAAGACTTCAACTCTAAATATTAGACATGCGTCGAGTTATTGATTCTAAAAGAGTCTCTAAAGCATTTCAACGAAAATACAATTTAAGCAGCAAAATCAAGCCAAACTAACGCTTGAAGCTGACCTCTGACAGCCTTATCAGTTGACTGAACAAAAATAGAAAAAGACAAAACCATGAGGAAATAAGAGAGAGAGAGACAAAGGAAGAGAACAAGACTAAAATTTAAATTTATTTCAAACTAATTAGTGGCTGTCAAGTTCTGCATCTAAAGTGTATTAACACGTACGGACATACATATGTTAATTGACACTTGCTGTTAAAATATACATAACAAGCTGTTTGCAACCGGTTAAAAACGCGCGAGAAACGCGCGCAACGCAATTAAACGGCGCCAAAAACGCGAGCATCGTTGACATCGCTTGTGGCGCTTTTTACGACTATATTCAAATGTGTCTCTGTGTCTGCTTAATAACAATAATACCCCTATGAGCATCGGCTATTATTGCTAATGAGTCGAGCTTGTATTGGACTGTGGGCTAGCCAACTGGAGCTGGTTAATGGCGAATGCAAATGAGCGCCAGTTGCAGATACACAATGATCTTTGCTTGTCAAGCTTGTTAGCCAATTAGCTGTATGTGTGTGTGTGTGGGTTTAGGTGTGTGGCACCCAGTTCTGAGGACAGTCTGATTGATTGCCCATCCCAGGCACAACTCAGCTGTCCATTCATCAAATAGACCGAAAGTCAGCCCAACGCCGCACGCCTCTAAGCAGTGCTGAGCAAGTTCTGCCTTAAGCCGGCCAAGCGACAAAACCAGTTCCATAGCCTGCAGACGCAGCTCGTCCATGAATACTAAAGAAATCATCCGAAAATGGCTTGGAGAAAATTTTTGCAGTCAAAACAATTAGACAACTCGGCGGTGTCCAAACAACTTGTTGCGACTGACCATAGACCGTCGGCTTGCCGGAAAAGCCTGGCCTGGCTCAAGCTGGCTCTCCCCTGACTTTTCCGCTGTGGCTGGGTTACGTGCAGCGTGAAAAGTTAAAAGTAAAAAGTGTGTAATTAAATGCAATGCTATTTGCCCCACGGGACAAGCGACAAGCGAAAAGAAAGAATGAAACATCTTCCATCTCAGAACGAACTTTAAATGCTCTTTCAATCTTCGCCGAATGCCAACTGGATAGAAACTAAGTTCGCTTAACTATTGCACAGTCAAAAACATGAACTTAATGCATTCCTATTTATATTTAACTATAATCCATTTCGAAACACACATAAATACGCTTTGGTTTGGGCAAAGTTCATTCAATTAATATTTGTTTTTTTTTATATTCTATATTTATTTCTTTCTAACTTAAAACCCATTTCATTCCAGTTTACAACGTTTTATTACATGGTCTATATAATTTGTAATCTGCAATAATTCAATCAAAGCCATTCGTGTTGCCAACATCTTTGGATTGCTGATGGAACTTGACCAAGTGTGCGGCGGACTACAAACAATAGCAATTAACATAAATTGCGTACGCGATGCGGCTCATTGACTTTTAAAAGGGGTTCCCATAGTTTGGTTTGGGTTCGCATTTGGGACAGCTGCCCGTCAATCATTCGCACAAATGAACTCTGACATTCCGGTGGAGGAGGCGGGGATATTGCCGCATAGGTTAAACACAAACAAAGCTGCGACGCACCTGTCGCAATGACAAGCAGTTCGACTCCATTTTGGGCGCGATAAGCATCGTCATAACAACAAAAGATTAACACGCCGGAAAAGCACTGCGACCCGATGGACACACAAGTCAAATTAGGGCCGCATTCGCCCGATGCAACGAAAATTGCCACACACGCACAAACAATAGCTGCAAGAGGAAGTGAGACGGTTGGCTAGCGGCACCAGGTAGGTAATTCGATTTGGTAGGTAGACATGCCGGCGGTTTGTGTTGATGTCGTTGCCGCAAGGATGCAAGCAGCCACCAACTAACCACAAATCTTTAAGATCGTGTTGCATACTAAAGCCTCAGCAACCGACACCCAAGTGCCATTCCAAACAGAAGATCTAAGATAATCTTTTACTTTGATATACGCACCTTATAACTGACTGGTGTAGTTAAGTATATTTGTTTATCTTGAGCTGGAGTATTTGTAGTAAAACTTCACTTTCCTTTTTTCGTTAGCCTGAAATTTTAATGGAAATAGTAAACTCAATTAACCCGGTGAATGAAGTAATAAAAAGAACACGATCGTCTCTCTCCAACAAGGGCCATAAATCATTTAATCAATGGTTGTCCATAAAAAAGCGTCTATTGTGCGTGCTAAGAGGCAAGCGCGATGGCAGTGAAGGCCAAACGAATTCCTGAATACCCAAGCCGTTGATGAATCCACCTCCAACTTGGAAGACCACTGCTCATCCGTGTTGCCGGCTGCCCACACGTCGCGCACGCCCCTCAGCTGGTTGGGCAAGCGCCAATGCACTTTACGTTATTAATAACAAGTTCACACACAACTACACACACACATACGCACACGCACATGCTCACATGTACATATTTGCATACGTATGCGTATAATTTGAAAAGCCCGCGGCAATTGTAAATGCATTTATTGTGATGCCACAAACCAGCGCATTGACAACTGACAGCATGTGCGCGAGCGACGGGTACTTTGCTAACCGTTTTGCAAACTAATCATTTATTATTACTCTTGTTTTTGGCGCAATATCTGCTACCTCGCATACTTTTTGGTATAGTTTTATGGCCGCGACTCGTATCAAGAAAACGTATATTTTGTATTGTGCGCGTTCCGTCGAAGTCTTCCGCGCCAGAACCGACACGTTCGATGTTTTGCCTGCGACTGACCTATGGTTCTCGATATATTTGAGTTTTTCGCGGTTGATATCGATATGTTTGTTTTCGATAAATATATTACGATACTACTTAGACTATGTTAAACACTGACTCTGTTAGCTGTTTAACAGCCACCTGAAAGCAAGGCGTATTTGACTTAAAATGTGGGTACTTCGACTTAATATTTCGAATTGAATTTTAATTGTAAAATATGAAAAAAGTAAACCAGCACTAAGTAAAACACTGAATTCCCAATTTGAATTCATATTCTATGGAAATAAAAGTAATAAGTTTGACTCTTTCGTATTAAAGAAATCCCAGATTCAAAAACGCAAATTGTATTGTTTTCAAGTTTTATGGTTTATTTGATTTCAAAAATATTCCATTTATTTATTCGATTTAAATACTATGACGGTGTAAAATATATTTAAGTAAATATTAGAAATGTTAGCAATGAGAACACAGCATTATTTTCCAATTCAATTAAGTAGTTGTTCATTTGATTTTGAGTGGTTCTCAGCGCTGACTTAAATGTAATACACATATGAACATTAAGAAACCTCATGCAAAAGTTTGGATTTCACTTTCTAGTTAAAAGTTGGACAAAGTCAAACAAATACACATAGGGCATATGGCAAAAGTTCTCTGGCAGTTTTGCATATAACATTAAGACATATACGTACACCAAATTATATATACAGTATGTGCCTAAAGAATTTGCCATAAGTAACACATCAATAAAGGCAAGTGTTAATTTTCAAATTATTTGGTTTATGTAAAACGTAAATTGAAAAATAAACTAAAAACAGATGCTATATCGATAATATCGAACATACCAAGAGGAAAGATAGAGGAAGATCTTAAGGACCAGACACTATCCAGCGTTGGGCGAAAGACAACGTTGGATGATGCGGAAATTCCATTGATATGGTCGAAAAGGCCACGAAATGTGGTGCGAGTGAATGTTATCCAAAAGGTAGCAAAATGCGAATTTAAATTCCTAATCCGATGTGAAACGAATGTTGAAGTGAAGTACGAAGGGACGCGTTTCCAAAATTTCCAAAATCCTTGCATATCCTGTCCATGCGCATAAGTTCATTAACTTCCACATAATTAAGGATATCTCATGCACACAAAACTTTATCCAAATCGAAACACACACAAACCCAAAAGATGTAACGCTGTTCTTAACCAGGCTCCAAATAGTAAGTACGCAAAAGAGGTTAGAATCAAAATCCTCTTCTCCATGCTTATGGCGCGATTGACGTGGGGAACCTGCATCCCACGTTGTCCTAGTGCTTTTTTAATTTTCTTTCGCGAAGGTAAAAGAAAATGCCTAAAGTCCGAATCCTTTTATGATATCTAATATCCAAATCCTTTTGTATCCTGATACCATTTTATAAACAACACGCTTTCCGAATTACCTGCCTCCTCTAATTTAATCCAAAATCATCTTTATCCTTTCCACTTTCCACTTCACACTTCACTCCATCATCAACATCAAAATTATCCTTCCTCCTCATCCTTATCCTTCCTCATCATCCTCCTCCTCCAATAATCCTTATTATACTCCAAACATAAACGCGCAAAACGGGGAAGAGAAGAAAATAAAATGAAATATTAATAATTTGTTAATATATACTCCATAAAAATGTTTGTGTTTTGATTTTGTTTACATATATTTATTCTGAATAGTGGGATCTTATTGTTGTTGTTGTTGTTAAGTTAGAAAAGATAAATTCTATTAAATTATTCTTTATATGCAACAAAATTTTAAAACAAGGAGTATGTTGAAGGAGAGAATTCCTTGAATTATAATTACAGCAAAAACTTAACTTGTCAATTGTATATTTGTATGCATTTAATAATTTAAAAGAATTTTTCTGTTTTGAAGGGAAAAGCAAGTGTTGATCGTGTTCCTAAATTTGCGATTTGCATTTGGATTTCTCCAGTCTTGATAAAGTGTTTTTTCTTGTTCTTGATATTGATACTGATCGATCGATTGACTGTTCAGCAGAATTAGAATAAACAGATAGATAGTTAGTGGGGTCGGGGGCTTGATAGTTTTCTTGCTTTTCCTAATTTTTCCTGCTCATAAGAAATATTAATAATAATGGATTATGATTGTAGACTTTAGTAATTAGAGCGTGAGCGAGACCTGGAATAGGATTGACGACGCACCGGCGAATATGTTGGTGTACCACGACGACGAGGTCGCGATGAAAACGAGCGCGAACGTGATCTGAAAATGGAATTTTAATTAGTGAAAGAGAATATCGAGATACAATGTTAGCGGCTATCATCATATTTACTATTTTTACAGTAATTAAAATATATAAGTGCATTCAACAATATTTGTTGAACAGCTTTAACTTACCTATCGCGATATTCACGACTGCCGCCGCCGCCACCACCACCGCCGCCGCCGCCTCCACGATCGTTATCACCACTATCCTCACGCACCCGTATATAGGCCACCTCACCCTAAGATTATGCATATTTATAATACCATTCGTAATGCGTTAATCTCTTGAGATTTAATTACTTACCTCATGTGAACGAAAACGTGAGTCGTCCAACTTCTTAATGGCATATTTCATATCCTCATGGCGCAAAAACTCCACGACGCCAGAACCGTCTTTATATGTATCGGCAAAGCAAACATCACCGGCCTCACGCATATGGTCCTTCAGGTCCTGCCATGAGCCTGATCCGGGCAAGCCAGTTACCATGACACGGTACTGTGAGCGTTTAGCTGGTGGTCCGCGCCCACCCATACGGCCGCCGCCATCGCGACTCCGATCGTTGCGATTGTTTCCGCGATAGCTTCCCGGTCCCCCGCCGCGAGGGAACTCCACTCGGAGCCTATAGCCGTCATAGTCATAACCATCACGTGCCTTGACTGCATCATCAGCATCGCTGTTGGCCGCCAAATGTCAGTAATGTTGCTACGGTTTGTGCATATGTTTAAAAATTGTTTTCACTACTTACCGCGCGTCTTCGAACTCGACAAATGCAAATGGCGGACCACGCCGATTCTTTAGATCGACAAATGTGACTTTGCCGAACTTGTGAAAAAGGTCCTGTATGTCCTTGGTTCGAATATCTGGTGGCAAATTGCCAACATAAATGCGACACTCGTTGCGCGAGCCCATTTGATAATTTGTATCGGTTGAAAGATAAATTAAGACACAATTTTTTCTTCAGAACTTTTGCTGTCACGCAATTACGCACACAAGGAAATTTCATATACACATAAATGCGATAGCGTTACAAGCTTGCATGTGTGTGTTATCGATAACATGTTTCTGTTGATCAAGTTGACAGCACTATGAATTGGCAAAGCTTAGTATTTTTACTTTTTTTTGGTTAAATTTAATACCATTTGAGCAGGGTATTGCGGCGTCTGCCTTTACTAAACAACTTTTTGTTGCAACAAAAAATGAAAATATGCGAAAATCCATCTAAAGCAAAGCACAAAACAAATCAAAAAAAAGAACGAGTGTAAAAAGTATTAAAACATGCGGTTGTGATTTACTTTGGAGTATATAAAGTTGTCTGTTGAAACCAGCAGACAACAGCCTTCAATATCAACGGGTGTGTGTGTGTTTGTATGTGACTTTGAGTGTGTGTATTGTGTGTATATAAACAAAGTGCGAACGCGGGAACCGCTTCCAAATTTTTTTCGCTAACTGCCTAAACTTGGACAACAACATAAAAAATGTCCAATGTGCGCTGCATAAATTTTTGGGATTTGTGCCGCATCTGCACTGCGAGCAGTGAACAGAAAATAAATATCTACTCGACCGATGGACGCGCCAAAAATTTAAGCCAGAAAATCTCAGAATGTCTGCCAGTGCAAGTGAGTAACATATAAAACGATAGATTAATAACAATATTACAACTAATGTCATTCGTATCCATAGATAGACGAAAAGGATCGTCTGCCCAAGGTGGTATGCGCCCATTGCGCCCAGCAAGTGGATCAAATATACGAAATGCGCAATATCTCAAGAAACTCGCAAACCATACTCAACAACTGGCTGAACCATCGGACGCTACAGAGCGAGGAAAAAGTGTTCATTAAGGATGCCATCAATGACTCGGGTAAAAGTCTCAGCGTGCTAGGCACAACAGCGTCTAGCGGGCTTGTCACAAGCAACACCAATCAACAGCCCAACGATCTGATTAGCAGCATCATGCAGGCAGTTGGCATGCAGGTCCAGCAGCAGCAACAACAACAACAACAACAACAACAACAGCCCCAACAACAACAGCAATATACAATTACTGTCGATAGTCATGTCCAGTCGCAGCCGCTGCAGCACTCACATTCCCAGTCGGATATCAAATCCGAAAAGCAAAAGTATGTTTCTCCTTGGTACCAATCCATATATTAAATTGAATTTTTGGTTGCAGCACTTTGGAAGAGTTTATCCGCCTAAAACCGGACATCAAAATTACGCCGCTGGGAAAAAAGGACGACGTGCATAGCACACAGAGCAGTAGCACCATATCTAATATAAAACAACAACAGCAGCAGCAGCAACAACAGCAGCAACAGCCACAGCAATCTGTACAGCTACAGGCACAAGCGATAACAGCGATGCCTGCGCCTGCTGCTCAACTGCAGTTACAACCGCAGCAGATTAACGACATTAATGTACTGTTGCAGCAACAAGCGCTTTGGCAGCAGATTCAACAGCTACAGGCGCAATCGCAGTTGACCAGTGGAGGCGATGATTCCACGGATAGCAAAAAACCGAAATTAAATTTTGTACTATCGTCACCAGCTACAGCTCCACAATTTTCTGGAAGTTTACCACAGTTTAGCAACGTGGGTGGGACACAACCACAAATTCAGTTGCAACTGTTGCCAGGCGGTGCTAGTTCTGGCAACAACAGCTCAACGGCCAACATTACAGCAGCCCAGCCCGCCCAGCAACTCAATGCAGCTGCTCTGCTATCTCTGGCTGGCACTCAGCTAGTTGGCGGTAATGGAGCTGCTAATATGCTCTCACCGAACAAATGCTTCTTGCCAATAACCATACGTGATGAGAACTCGGACCAGCAGATTGTGGCGCACATCGACACAAAGAATCTGGTGCTACCCACTACATATCAAGTGCAAATGAAGGTAAGGCTTGGCAGCATTAAAAGAGCATTGGTATATTTTTATTAAGTTGAAGTTTCTGCGTACATATCAACATAATCGAATTGTTTTCAATTTTGCAGCTTCAGCCTCAATTGGCCACCGCGGATGGTCAACCCATCATGCAGTTGACGCCAACTTCCATTCCAGCCACATTGCAGTTGACGCCACAGACTTTGGGTACTGCAACGACCTTTCAATCAGCGTCAACAACACATCATCAAAATCAGTTCCTTGTCTCACAGCCGCAACATCAGCAACATCAACATCATCAACAACAACAACAACAGCAGCAACAACAACAACAACAACAACAACAACAACATTCACAACAGCAACATCATTCACAACAGCAACAGCATTCACAGCAACAACAACAATCGCGTCAGCATCAACAACAACAACAGCAGCAACAGCAACAACTAGCTCCTGCTACAGCACAAGTAACTTCACAGCAAATCATTAGATCTCCCCATGGAAATGCAACCAATTCACAGGTAGTGATACGGAATGTGAGCTCTGAGCAAAGCAACACTCTGAACAATAGTGCTGAATCGTCGGTAACCTTTAAGATGCCTTCGCCACGACAGTTACAACAGCAGCCTCAACAACAGCAGATTAAATATAAGGCCACATCGTCCAGTGCTTCGTTAGTTGCAGTTCCTTCTGCTGTGTCTTCTAGCAATACAATCCAGACAGAGTTTAAGCGTGTGTCGCAGGTAAAACAGCCGACACCTCAAGCAGGCCAGAACAATGTGTCTGCCTTGCAGCGGCTTTCGTCCAATACAACTATCACTAAGCTCCCCAAACAACAACATCCCGTGGCGAGCCACAAAATGCCGCTGATAAACAAACAAAATATAACTATTAGTCGCATATCCACACAGCCAGCCGCAAAGCCAGAGTCAAAGCCAACAGTAACAGCACAGGCTCAAGCACAGATACAACTCGCCAAATCAGAGCCAGCACCGCCACCACCAGCTCTGGCGCTGCAACAGCTGCCTCAACCACCAGTCACAAATATTCTTACCCAACGAAAAATCAATCGAAAGCCGCCCGAGCACATGGAGAATCAAAAAACAAAAACCTCTCGACCTCAGCAACAAATTCTGCCCGTGCCTGCACAACAAACAACGACACAATCGCAGGCGCAACCTCAACAGCAGCAGTTGGCCAACAGTTCGATCACTGAGACGCCCGCAGCGACACCCATGAATGCACTTACCTGTCCCACCTGCCGACGCGAGTTCAAGAAGAAGGAGCATCTTACACAACATGTCAAGCTTCACGAGGGACTACGTCCGTTTAAATGCACTGAAGAAGGCTGCGACAAGGCCTTCAGTCGGAAAGAGCATTTGTCCCGTCATCTGGTCTCCCATTCTGGCCAGAAGATGTTTACTTGCGAGGAATGCAAGAAGCCATTCTCGCGCAAGGATAATCTCAACAAGCATAAGCGGTGAGTATATACATTTTAAGGCCAAGGAGTTGTTTGAAACTATTTAAAATTGTTTCTGAAAATCATAAATAAATTACTCTTTAATTTATTGCAGATATTTGTTAATAATCCATTTTATTTGAAGCATGTTTTTTATAATCCTTGATTTACTTTGACTTACTTTTTTGCAGAACTCACAACGTACAGCCTGGCGAGACTCGACTGCACAGCTGTGACATTTGCAATAAAAACTTCGCATCTAAGCAGCACTATGAGAAGCATCGCGAAATGCACAAAAAGTCACGTGTGGGGAACGCAGCTTCAGCCACACAAGCACTCACAGGTGGTGCTAAGGTAAAAGTCTTAAAGTTTTTATTTGTTTACCTTTTTTAAATACATCAACTAATAAACGTTTTACATTGCAGAATCAGTATGAAGTTAAGCAAGAATCGTCAAGTGCACCACAAACGCAGCAGTCGCAATCTCAAATGCAAATTCAACAGCAGCCGCAACAACATCCACAAATCATGCATGTAGATTTGGATGGAAATACAATTACAATAACTCAGGCATCCGATTCCACCATGCCATCTCTGGCGAACTTTGTTCAGCTGGGATTATCGCAATTCCACAATGGCAGCGGGTCTTCAAACCAAATTGTTTGCAAGCTTGAAAAGTAGATACCGATTTGGTTTAATTAGCGTAGCTCGACTCCTTATCTAGTCCATGCGTTCTACTGCCAGTTTCCTTAACAGAACAACAATTGTTGACGCATTCCGATTGTGTTTTATATTTATAGTTTATGTTGATCCTTTATCGAGTTTAGATTACGTAAAATCTTTTCAGTCTATTTGTGCAATATACGCGTTAGTTTTATATTATTTTTTATTGTATATATATTTATGTTTGTTTGTTTATCGTGTCGTTCCTTTTATCTAATTTATTTTCTTATGTCTTTCGCGATTCATTTCCAATATTAGTTTTATTTGTTTCATTAATTTTAATTGAAATACAGATAAGCGCTAGGACTTGCCAATATTAGAGATACATATATGTATAGATGTAAGGCCCATTTTAGTAGCAGTTAGGTGTAAATATTTATTAAACGCAAATGCATAAACTAGTAGCTATAAACGTATTTGTAATACTAAAAACTTTGTAATGACCACACCTGTTAGGTGCGAATGGAAATGGTAAATTGAGCCAAATCGAAAATGAAAATAAATGCGATTGTTTCATTTATGGAATAGTTATTTTATTTGTTTGGAGCGCTCTGTGCTCGATGCGCAATACAACAGATGGCAGCCGTCATTGTTTAAACTATTTATTCGTATTCGTTTTTGCTTAATTCGTGGACTGAAAATATAAACTAGAAAAGAAAAAAGAAAAATAGGTTTCTCGCCATCCTTAAATCATTTTCTCTTCCACGAAATGTAACGAATGCAGGCAAACTAAATATCAATGGCAGATGCAAATCGAAGCACGTTTCCAACTAAATATTACGCACAAACATTCTGAAAATTTCAAATGAAACGAAATCGAAGCAAAGATTAACAAAATATTCAACATTTAATGGAATTTAGGATCGTAAAATTAAGTTTTGCAGTTACTTTTATTATTATTATTTTTATTAATACTTTGAATGGGATGTGGGGTTGCCGAATTCGTATGCTGCTTACATTTTATAGAGAATAAATAATTTTCAAATTCTTTGGCTTAATTAAACATAACAGAAAAGAAAATACATTAAAATTAGCAATTACATTCTATATTCTACATAAATACTACTGAAAATAGTGGGAACGCTTGAATGATGCAGGCTAGGCGCAGTGCAAAAAGCGTAGCAGGACGATTCGATATACTCCAAATGTGGGGCTAACAACTGATGATTGCGATTCCATGTGAATAGTGCGTGTAACTATGTGCAAATACATTGTTAGATGAGGGAGAGAGCAGAACAAGTCAAACCAAACCAAACCAAACAAAGCCAAGCCAAACAGAACAGAACAAAACAAACCCAAACAGAAACCAAGCGTTGGATCAAATATACCAGAAGTAAACAGATTTATAGAGAATAATCGTGCAGCGCTAACCTTATAGGTCGTTTGTCAGGTTTGCAGCTGCCCTCAATCGTAACTCAATGAGAATTGGTTTATCTTTTGGACATCGCCCCACACCTGAATCGACTGTATGTCGGATAGGGAAAATAGCGTTTCGAATTTGGTAACAAAATTGTGACCCTGTCCACGCACTTGGTAAACGAGTATGGTGGAATTATCGTAATCGAATTGAAACTCAAGCGAAAACGTTGACTCTGTGAACGAATAGTTAAGTACGGCATCGATGCCATCATCTATAATACTGGATATGCTTGGCATTGTCAGATCGTTTTTACCATCGAAAATATTCAAATATTTCTCCTGATGCGAATCGCTCCACTCGCCATTGCTCTTGTAATTCTCGACGATCGTCTGTGCGGGTACCCTAACTTTAAAGTGATATGTTATGTTGTCTGTGCAGCTGGGACTGTTTACAAAATTGATCGAAAATCTGTAAATGAAAGAAAAAACACCAGAAGAGTGCATTTAGTTAGAAATTAACAAGCAAATATATAGTTTATGGCTCCTAACAACACTGACTACTCTGTAACATGTGTGAAATCTGTTGATGTCGTCAAATAGCTCTGCGCAGGTGTGAAGCACGTGCAACACATTCATAATCTACACCTACAGTATATTTTGTTTCCAACCGGTATTCCGGAATGCCTAATGATTCACTGTAAATATGTCTGTGTCTGTGGATGGCAAACCTATTGTTTTTTCCGATCTTATATATTGGAAAGGCACACAGCAAACTGAAGTACCCAACTCTTTGAATGTTTGTCACATTCTTCAAATAACACTTAATTCTTATACTTGTCGCTGAAGTCAAAAGAGTATATTGGTTTTACGTATTGTCCGCATTGCTTTCTGTAGGACTTTAAAGCTTATCGTTGCTGCTGAAGTTGGAGACATTAAATTTGAATATACACATCCTGTCCTTAGTTTTGGATAAACCCACATAATGCATGACAAATGGGGAGTTTCTATATTATTCTGACACTATATGAACTATGACACTATAGAACTACAAGATCTGGAATTTGCGAAATATAATCGAGTTTTAACTATCAAATTAATATATATATATACATTGAACCTTAAAATGTGTTAAGTGAGCTATTTCGACCTCATCTCTGTATTAACCAAATAATATATATCCACTATTTGCGGCCTAGAAAATCGGACAATACTATATATTTGTCAGTTTTAGAGCTAACATCCCCAAAGGCAAATTAAAGGCAAATTACTATTTCCCTTTACAAATATATAGACTTAAATATATTTTATTGATCGATATTTCAATTATCACTAGTTTGCAAGATTCTTCCTTAAACAATGCAAATAAACAGATACAAAAAGAAATTAGTCAGCATATAATCTAACATAGACAAAATACTATAGATTCGTTATAAAAGATCAGTTCAAAGAGCATGACATTGTTTAATTAGGCAAGAATCGGGCGTTAATAAAATCAAGAAAGAAAATCTATTTTTAGATTTACGAAGATAAGATTCATTTCTTGAGTTTTAGCTTGAGAGCATGAGCATTGTGTTGCATAGTTTATATGGAATATACATATACTATAAGGATCACATAATAAATTAATAAATATATCCAAGTCTTCATACATACATACGTAGATACCCCTCTTATGTAGATACATGCGTTACGAACATCCCAATAAGTTTCGTCTATTTATGTACATATTCACTTAACAGGCGTTATAATATATAGCCAATAATAAGTGAGTTATACAATTCACGTTAAAATTGTAAGAGGGTATAAGAAAGCAAGCTACGTAGAGAGGTCTCTTATCTTAAGGTGGGATATACGTAGTTTGTTTGCCAATATTAGTCATGTATCCACCTTATCATTATAAGAATAGTGCTAAGGAATAGCAAAACAAGCAATCAATGCTCGTGTTATCATCACGACAAGATAACGAAATCGAACGATAGATACCCATTGTAAATAAATGCCAATGTCATGCCTTACAACACAAAGCCGGATCCCAATTCTGTAAACGAACAAGCTCCGGGAAGATGATGAAATAGGTAGAATTAAGATTTATTGACATCATTTGCTCAGTGACCATCGAGTTGAAGAATGGGCAAAGTGAACGCGTTTGCTCACCCAAAAGCTGACCTGTTGATTGGCCGTCGTACTCGTTAATGATTTATCTGATACTTCTCATTCTCTTCATTTGTCTGTTTTGAAGAGATTTTTTTTATTGTTGTCTCTGTCGCAGCATCGCAGCAGCCGGCAAAGTTGGCGGCGTCTTCAGCGCGTGGCTGATGATGATGCTGGTGATGTCATTGATTGTGGGAACTGATACAGAAATGCCAAAGCGAGGCAAGTCGTAACTAATTTATGCTACAAGATGGCATATCAATTAGAACCTAATATATTTAGGCTAAGCAAATAAACTGACTGAATTCTGCTTGCTCAGCGCCAAAAATCTAAATATATAAAAATATAAAAATAAAACTAATAACATTGCGGTTAAAATATTTCTCACAAGCATGTCTGTATTTGCTACGTAAACCCATTTATAAATGCCTCTTTAAGTGGAATTCCGTAAAAGCTACTAAAAATGTTTGCACGCAAGTTTCGTAATGGCAGTTCTTAGAAAAAATTAGGTTACTTAAAGGGCCACATCGATTTTCTAAACCAAAAAACGAGCTGTTCTTAAGTGTGTGTATGTGGTATGAGTTAACCTACTGTTCTGGCTCCTGCAGCAGACTTCCTTGAATGCCCAGCTTACGCATCCTGTCCGATTCGTTGGGATTTGTTGGTAGCACAACCAAGTATTTAACTTCGGCCATTTTCTAACTCTATTTTATTTTATTTAAGAGCGCTATTAAAATGTATGTATGCAGCCGTTGGACACGTTTAAACAATTAGACCGAACACAAATTCCTCGTATGTATATAAGGCAATAAATTGCAATTTCATTCAACAAAAATGTAAACAAATTTCAAATTCGCTTTGCTTTGCTTTGATTTTCTGCTGTGTTGCTAACGGTTACAGCTTAGCGGCGAGCTCTTTACAGTTCGCTTGCTCGAGTAATACTGTTCGACTGTAATCAAGCAGCAGCAGCAGACGCTCTCAACAAAAATAGCATGTCAAAGATCGCTCAACGACGTCACGGGTAAAGCACTTTTCGATAAGCACGAAGTACATATTTGATTTCTCATTTACGTAGAACAGTAAGAAACTATCTAAGCCGTCGTCGTTACCGCCGACACGCACTGAGTTCCTTCCGCCACCTCGAGTGAGTCAATACTGGCCGAAAATGTTCGGCTGGCCCAGATGGCAGAGGCGAAAACAACAGCGCGCCGGCTTTCATACACTCTTGCATAAATAAAAATTATCTTATCCAAAAGATATCAGTAATACTTCAAATTTCTCTTAGAACCATTCAACTATACACACACATTCATTTTTATATATAGCTAGAATATATACAAAGCATAAAAATAAATAATTTATAAAGTGTCAGCTGTGTTTGCAATCTGAAAGCTGCTAAAATATATAATCAGTAAATATTTCAATTTGGCCATAAATAAATGAGCCTAGAGATTAACACAACTGTTGCTTTGTTTAATAATAAATTATAAACTTCATTATAGTCTATTTTTAGGCAGTAAAATAAATAAAAAAATATTCAGAAATGGATTGTTTTCAAAAGCTACGTTAAAAATAAATTGCACAAAATGTCAGTATTGAACAAAAGTCATTGCTTTATTGATTTAAGATTATTTATTTCGCTTCAGAACACGATCGTCAAGTAAGTAAGTATTTTATGTCATTTTTTTAAATTATTAAATAATTCGTTAATACCATAGTATTTTCTACAGTTCTGTTAGTATTTTTCTTCATAAATTCGATATTAATGATTTTTCAATAACTGGTCACACAGTAAAGAACCCAAGTCGAGCTAACAAGTTGGCTGCCAAGCTAACGTGAACATCAAACAAATACCAAATTTTAAATCAAACTTTTCAAATCGACGTGCAAAATGAACACGTCACAAATAGTAATCATGATATGTTGCATAGTCGGCGTCGCACAAACCGCGCTGGCGCTCAAAGAGGACGACTGTGAAGGTACGTACGCCTTCTATATTAGAAGTGGGCCGTTCTTGGCCACGTAAGTATAAAATGTAGAACAAATTTTCACCGTATGTAATTACAGTTTGTGTGAAAACTGTTAAACGTTTTGGTGACACACTGGACGAAGCCACGAAGAAGGACTACAAACTGATTGAAACGGCATTTAAGAAATACTGCAAGACACAGAAAAACAAGGAACACAGATTTGTAAGTAGCCCAAGGCCAATTCGCCGGCAAACAAGAAATTTAAAAAAAACACGTATATATATTTTTTCAAATCTACGTAGTGTTACTACCTGGGTGGCCTTGAGGAATCGGCCACAGGTATATTAAATGAACTGAGTAAGCCAATGAGCTGGTCAATGCCAGCGGAGAAAGTGTGTGAAAAGCTGAAGAAAAAGGATGCACAAATTTGCGATTTACGTTATGGTATATTAATCGACTTTTAATATATAATATGATACTAATATAAATGTCCACTTGCAGAGAAACAAATTGATTTAAACAATGTAGACCTCAAGAAGCTGAAAGTGCGCGATCTGAAGAAGATCCTTAACGATTGGGATGAGAGCTGTGACGGTTGTCTGGAAAAATCCGATTTTATAAAGCGCATCGAGGAGCTGAAGCCCAAATATTCGCGCAATGAACTGTAAATAAATTATCTTAGCTATTTACGAGATACACGCCCACTCAATACAACAAAAACACCCACATACACATATATTTTAGTTAATTTACAATTTTGATAGACTTTGAGAGAAATAAATATCTATTTTGAAATATAAAAAGGAAAACAAGAAAATGTGAGAAAAGATACACAATAAACACACAATGACCTCGTACACTTTTCGTATATAATAATTGTTTTATTCACGTGTTAACAATATTATTATTATGATTTTTTAATACAAAATTAACGTACAAATTACAACAAATTGGACAGTGATAAAGAATGATACAAATGTTAAGTATTTCGGTTGCACTTACTGCGGACCCAACATAATTTGTATTTACTTAACTTTTATGTGTATGTATTTGCCAAATGGGGCGCGCATTATTAAATAATTAAATTAAAGTTATTAGTTAAACATATGAGCTAATTACGAACAAAAGCAGTTTTATTTTAGTTAATTATCAACTAACAGATAAGATAGATCTATATGATCTAAGAGCCGTGATTGGGTAAGGTCGATCAACGACGATACGGCTGCTTGTTGTACCGTCCACGTTCGCTCTCCTCAGCCAGATTTGCGTATTCACTGTAGACGACACACCAGCAGTATGTGAGTACAGCTGGAAATAGGTAAACATACATACAAATACATTAAACAGAATCAAAATATTGTATTTCAATTAATAAAGGTTCAAAGTTTGCATGGGGAATATATAACACTTGTTAACTCAGTCACTAACTAAAAGGCTAGATCTGACTACAAAATGGCTAAACAGCACAGCACAGAATACAAATTCCTAATTTAAAGCATAGCATAATTTCGGGCGCGCGTAAATATTGAATTGAATGAAATGAATTGTATATAGATAGTATCTATTTACATATCTGTGTATTTATGTACATATATATGAAAGAATAGGAGCATAAGCACTATCTATCAATTAGTAAATATAAAAATCTCTCATTCTAAGTGTCTTAAGATTATGATCTTATTGGATTTGATAGCTGAATATATTTTATAAAGGAGAGACTACTGTTCGCCATTTGGCAGCCGAGTTAATTGCGTAGCAAGGCACTTCACGCCTCATTTGTCAGCCAGACTGAACTCCGCGCCTGCCGCATCTTGCTTTCGGCATGAAGGTGATCGGCGCATGATAAATGCGTCAATAAAGTGAAAACGGCTGGCATATAAACGCCATCCGGTGCTAAAAACCGCACAAGGAGTAGCCACCATTAGCTGGTGTAGATGATATGCACTTACCGCAACAGATCAGCCCGAAGATTAGCCACAGAACGCCCGTCAGTACGAAGCCGTCGATGAAGAAGACGACGGCAGTGTAAATTACAGAAATAAGCAAGCCAATGGCAATCATTATGCCCAGCACCACCCATGGAACCATCAGATAGTGATTGCGCTGTAAAAAATTTATATATAGTTTTTGAATTGGCCAATTATAATCAATGGTCAGTCAGTCAGTCAGTAAAGCTCAGAGCTAAACATACCTTGACAACGCCGAACATCATTAGCAATGATATCAATATGGTCATGCACAGATTTACCACCAGAATGATTTTGACTATATTGTTTGGTATGAAGTCAAAGATGATCGTCTTGAAATGTACGCGTGCTGTGAATATCACAATTATCGTGATAATGGATAGGATGATGGCCAAAGTTCCTGATATAATGGAGCCATTTCGTGTTGACTGACACAGGCAGCAGGACTTAAGGAGAGGTTTCGGCATTTTGATGTGATTTAAACTTTACTGAAAATAAACGAGTAATTTATTATAGCAATTAATATATAAAGATAATCGTAAATGTATTTAATTATCTATCTTGTAGCTCATTAGATAGAATTTATGGATATATTTGCGTTTGTACAATTTTAAAATTTCAGCGAAAATCGTTTCAAATTAATTTAAAATTTTTCTCAATTACATCATCATTTTTATATAAAGTTGAGGTCAAATTCAATTTTCAAGCGATATGTCAATAGCTTCTAATTGGCCTTAACTTTCAGTTGGGACATAAGAAGCCAAGTGGCATCAGCAAAAGTCATAAAATGTGTTTTGATGGACCTTAAAAGGTTTTTGACACTTTGAACTCAGTTTTCTCGAAATTATGACGTGATTCGTAATCGACAAGTGGCACGAAAAAAGTTTCATTTCCTCAAACAATTGTATAGCCATTTTATTGGAATAATCGCAAGATTACTTTCAAGAAATTATTTGTATTGTCTGACATTTATAGATAAGAAGAATGATTAATTCGTAAATATTTGCTTGAAGTTCGCTGAATTGTTTGTCAGCATCATAAAAATAATGAGTTGTTGTTGCAATTTCGAGATGCATTACGAGCTCGATGTTTGGAGAAGGTTATCTTATCAACATTTCCAAAAATAAATGAATTTATGACGTTTGCTTGCGCAGCAAAGCAAATTTGCCTCAAGCCTAATGTGCCCACCTTGACTGGCACAAGACAGAGGAAAAGCTATATACAAAGTAAAACAGATTTTTTGTGACGTCAAGCAATGCCTGAACATTTGGTCAGCGCAAAATTGTTTATAAAGCAAATCGTATTTAAAATTAGAAAAATAGCACAATAACAAAAGCGCGTGAAATATTGAAATGTTTTTGTATCATGCCGCAATAAAGATTCGTGTGTATATAATATGTAGATATATGTGTGTATATAATTGTTAAATATAGCATAGTCTCTTTGAATGAAACAGGCTTTAAATCGCTAACAAAATCAATTGGATAGCGCCAATTTCCTTGCCAGACTTTCAAAAGCTTATATCATTCACATGACTTACACACACAAACACACTCAAAAAAGATACAGATACAAGCGAATACTGCTGTAGATACATGTAAGTGATGCCTCATCGATTGCCGCCTACGGGCATTGTCATTAAATTAATCAAACGCTTAACATGCAACGCCGACAACGGCAGCTCCAATTTGATGTTGCCACATGCAAATTTCAAATTTAAATTCAAATTCAAATTGAAGCTTAGCCGGTTTTTATCTATCGGATGCATACTTAAACAACTACTTAAACGTGCCGGTTAACTAGTTTTGTGCCTGAGGCTATACAACGCTGATGAGATAATCGCAAGACACCAAAATCTCTTGTCATACATGGAAACACTTTACGAAAGCATTAACCAGTCAGTTACCAATCCAGGAACTTATATTGCGGAGCAGCAGTTGAATTTAAACTACAAGTGCCAAGAGGCCGTAAAATTAGTGAAGCGAATTTCGGTTGCGTTCTCGACGTTGGTTCACACCTCTCACAAAAAGATCTCAAATTGTATAAATAAATATCAAATAGAAGAGGAAGAGCGTGATGATCTCAGTTTGTTACTCATTTGTTGCTTAAATATGTATAACTGTAAATTGTTAACTTCTGTTTGATTGTTTCTATACCTGTGCATAAAGTTAAAAAGAGTATATTCGTTTGTTCAATCCGTCTTGCGAGCTCAGACGAAGACCCAATAATATTAGATAATTTAAATATGAATTCCTATTTCTACTCTTTTGATAAAGTGCTTCGATTGAAGTCATGGATCATCGGGATTAAATATTTTTCAAGAATATCAAGTATAAATAGTTGAGCTTATATAGCTTTTAATGTATACTTTTAACATTGTCTTTAGAATAAACAAAAATAATACTAATTCGTCGAGTCACATTTTGTCACATCTTTAGAACTGGGATCACTAAGTTTGTTAGGTTCTCTACAGATAGAATTATAAATTATATCTATTGCAAATACGAAAATATTCATTGGATTTAGATTAAACTTAGCTATTTTGGACACTGAACGGGCATTAAGCAATCAATTGTGCTGGACTGTCATCTTAGTTGTTCTAAAGCCTTAAATATTATATAAATATATTTAATTATATCATATAATATGTGATTTAAAGGCATTTAATCCAAATTTTTTAATTGCCCCTTTATTGCTAAACAGAATATAGCATTTATAGGTTTATATTGAATTACAGTTTCTGAACAGAAGATATACAGCCTATCCTGAGTTCAGAAACTTTAATACAAATTTAAGCATTATATATTTTTATATATTTGTCTTTGAATTAAAAAAAGTATCTTAAGTTGTGAAAAAATCATGAAAAGAGCTAAAGCCAAAAACGAAACAAAAATAAAACAAAAAAATAAATTACGCAATGAAAAAGGTCAGAGTCGAAGAGGGGGAAGAGTGGGCGGAGGCTTGTAGGAGACCGAACATTTTATGGCCAATTCTGAGGCCAACGTTCTGCTATAGTTGGGCATATTCGTGAGATCGGTAAGCTGGTTGAAATTTAATCAGCGAGGCGGCGCGTTTTCAGCGCGTTTCGTACGCGTCTTTCACTCTAACAGTTTTTGGTTGTGTAAATAGTGAATAAATTTAAACCATTTGAGAATAATATGCGCAGTTGCCACAGAGCTTTTATGGCTTCTATATGTATATGTATATACAATTACATGTCTATTGTTATACGATACGCTTTATATGTGTGTATGTGGCAATACCTCGTTCGCTCAGAGTCTGAGATATAGTCTGTATGTGGTCTGTGGAGCACAGCACTTGAAGCTCTTGATGCGGCCAATTAGCTGGACTGTGTGGCAACCTACATCCATTGGAATGAAGGCAACTATGCTAACTATGCCAGCCCATACACCACACCACGTACACACACACATATCAATGTGTGTAGGTGGCTGATTGACTAAGTGCCATCGATAGTGACACGTAAACAACGCTTCCAGCTATCAGTTGAGCAATGTGCGCCACGTGGGCCATTTTCAGATCGGACCATCTGCTAATAGGCCATGTAATAAGCACATTAAAATCTAATGGTGACGTTAACTTCCGCTTGCATACAATTAAACTGAGTTGCGAGCTGCCATGTGGTCATAAACAGCTCGCAAAGCTCACAGAGTCAAGTTCAAGCGAATGCGTAGGCGTTCAAATGCTCGCGACTTGAACGCGATTCGCTTGCGACTTTTCTCAAGAATTTCAACGGCAACTTCGTTGATTATGTGGGTTTCAGTTGGAAAGTGTTTGACAAGTGCAACTGGTTGTTGTGTGATTGTCATGGTGCAGCATGTGTGTGGGCGCGCCTTTCAACTGCATTCAAGAAATTGAATGCTGTATTAAATGT